ACATGTATATCCAATAAGTTTAAATCTAAAATTTTACATCTCTTAGACTGGTTGCTTCTCATATATATATATATATATATATATATATATATATATATATATATAAGGATGGCCAAAAGTCTCTTCTCCATTCCCAATAATAATAAACAAATTTGTAAATGATTTAAAAACAGATAAATGGTAAAAAAAGAAGTGGCTGTCTGAAGTATGTGAAGACCGATGAAAATAAAGAAAATATAATTGTTGTATTGAAATTATAATTGTATGATGATTAAATAAATGTTATGTTATTTAGAAATTTCTGTTTATCATTATTGGAAATGGGTAAAGTAACTTTTGGCCATTCCTATATATATATATATATATATATATATATATTATACCCTCCTCACTCCCCTACCAAATGCATGCATCAAAACATTATGACTACTTGTTTAATAAAGTTGCTGATCATTTATGTCCCCATAAAATTTCTTATAACTGATCAAACATGGACACTATAAAATCCTATAAAGTAGTCATCTGAGGTCAGGATGTTAATAACTTATTCTTTAAATATAACAAGTTAAACAAGTGGGTATCATTGAGAAAGAGTGTTATAAAGATCAACTAATATATAGATTACCATCAAAGAAATTGTCATTCAATAGATAGATAGATATACACAGAGTCAAAACATTATGACTGCTTGTATAATAAGTTGTTGGTTCAAAATGGTTCAACAGCTCTTACTTGATTAGGCATAGATGCTACAATCACTCTAAAGGTTTCCTTTGGTATCTAATATTGGGATATTATGTGGTGGAAATTGTGTAAAGAGGACTTGTTGGTTCAACAAATCTTATAAATGTGCTGAATGGAAATGAGATCTGAAGAGTATTAGTAACCAAGCTAACATTGTGACGTCTTTTCCATGTTGCTGAAACTGTTTCCTCATACAAGTCATGCAGTGTGACAGAGTGCATTATCCTGTTGAACTTTGCCACTACCATAATCATAGACTTTTTCAATGAAGGAGTGTATCTGATCTTCAATTTTGTTGAGGTAGGTGGTATATGTAAGTACCTTCCACACTAATGAGAGAGCCCAGTGTTTCTCAGTAGAATGTTCCTCCAAACCATCACACAGTCTCCACCAGTTTGGTTCCCTACCTTAAGTGCATCCTGACATCATTGCATCCCCAGAATAATGAATGTATCCTGCTATCAATGTTATTCAAGAGAAACTGAGGCACTTGAAACCAAACAATTTTCTTCCATTGATACAAGGTTCACTTCTGACACATGCTCATTGAAAGCAATTTCTGCAATCAATATTGGTTAGCATGGATACTTTGAGTAGTCTGTGGCTACACAGTCCTACATACAGCAAGGATCAATATAGTGTGTGTGTGTGTGTGTGTGTGTGTGTGCATTTTGTAGTGAATTCCTGTCTTCAATTTGATTAAGACAATGTGTAATTTGTAACATAATAGCCCTTGTTTGGGTATCAACCAATGAAGTCAGTAGAAACAAAAAAAAATCTGTGAGCCAACAGTAAGTTCAATTGTGAATCTGTTGTAAAGAGTCCAACAGGAGACATAGTAATGAAAAATGGGGTCAGAAATCCAACCTCCCTCCCCTTCGCAACAGCAGAAATGCACTTACGCTCACCAAGTTCAAAAGTCGTTCTGTCTTAGTAAGCAAAAGCAACGGACTTTATTCACCAAGCGATTTTTCTGATTGGCCACACCATTCAGAGAGGAAAGAACATTAGCATAGTTTCTCTGATACTTAAAAGTAGCAGGTTTTTGCTAACTATTTTCTTTAATTTTCCTTCGGCATACCACGCACAAAACACAAACTCTTTTTTGAGGTAGGTGATTTTCTTTCATTACAGTCCTTTTGTCAGTTCATACTTGGTGAAAAAAAGCCTCCATTCACTTCTCTTATGAAGAAGTCTTAATTGCCTTTTCAACTGTTAATGATTTTTCTCTCCTCAGACAATTACCTATAGGGACACACCACAAGCCAAGCTGTTTGAGAAATGTTTTCAGTCTTCAGACCATAACAATTTAGCTCTTATCAAAGTCACTTCAGTTTTTTGTTTTTTTTCTCATAAGTAACTGCAACATTCAACACATCAAAATGAAATGCATATATTTGGCTTACCTTCTTATATATCTCTGAGCCTTACATAAGTTTTGCCCCCAGGAGTTTGGGATATGATGATATAGACTAATATTGGTGATTCCACTTGAGGGGCCAAAACATTTAGCAAACAAGACTCTCCTTTAGCAATATTTTACACACATTTTTACATAACAAATTCACTTGTTTACTATAGTATAATATATATATATGTGAATTATTAAATAAGATTAAATAAGAACAAGTAGAAAAACCTTTATAAATTTGACATGTTTCACTATTTAGCTTCATCAGAAAATGTTTGGGAACAGGACAGCATGGAGATGTTTCAATTTTTTTTTTTAGAATTGAAACATCTGTGCAGTGCTTCATTCCCAAACATTATCTGATGAGGCTAAATAAATAGCTAAATATGTCAAATTTATAGAGTCAAAAACTGACTTGTTATTTAGTTAATCATTTTGTTGGATTTAATAGAGAGATAAATAAATGGAAAGGTTTTATATATGTGTGGATAAAGAGACAAAAATAAAATCTAATTCTCACCTAATTTTACAAAATAGATACGGGCTATAGGGGATCTTTCGTGGATTTAGATCAGTGGCCACACCCACTTGGTATTTGTTGTTAGAACGCAACAACAGAAGACATTCAATTATCTGAAATAGAAGCAACAAAATTATTATTTCAAATTTAATTAGAAATTTTCTGAAAACTTCAAGTCAAGAATACAGGTTTCAAGGTAGCATTAGTTGATAAAATAGTTTCCCTTCTATGTTAATAAATTTTTTAAATAGATGTGTGTCAAAATATCATGGAAGGAAGACAATGTATGAAAGTTAATCTGATAATCCAAATTAAGTTCAAAATTTCGGCAATATTATCCTTTGTGTCCACAAAAAAATGGTGTGCCAAAAGGAAGGTTTTTCTGTTGACACCGCTATTACCTTAAACTACAGAGACTCCTTTGGAAATGTTTATTTACAAGATTATAAAAATATTTGAACCAGGTACAATTTGATATTTACTATTTACCATTTATAAAGAATTGTTATTTATCATATTATAAACAAATAAATTTGAAAAAATTCAAAAATTTATAAAAGCCTACAAAATTTTCAACAAATCGTCTTCTTTGGAATGGTTGGCATCAGTGAATTGCCACTCAATTGGAACTTTATAAAATGGTAAATAATAAAGATTTCATTAGAGTTGGTTCACATAATTTTATGATTTAGTAAATTTTTATAAATTTAGGAATAAAAAATCGTTTTCATATTTATTGCTTTATAAATTGGTAAATGATAAACATTTCATTGTATTAGTTGGTTCACATTTTTAGAATGTTGTAAATATAAAATTATTCTTGTAAATAAACAATCTAACAAATAGTATTTAATATTTTTGTTGTAAATTCTCAAAGAACAAAGAAAATGTATAAATTCACTTTCATATGCTTGGGTTTTATTAAAATTCTAATTATCACTTTTTAAAACAAACATTGCCGAGAGAATGATGGTAGTACAAAATAATATTAGTGTCGAGCATAAAACAAGTTTTTTAACACACCATTTTAATTGCACTTAAACTTTGCCAAAAATTTCAATTATTTTTTTTATTTTTTTCTGTATATAAAACTGCAGAAAATTAATAAAATCTGAATTTCAATATTTTTAAGTATCCATTCTTTTGTCTTAGTAAAAAAAAAATAAATGATTACAAATATGTGAATAAAATTTAGCAGATACTGACAAAAGCAAGATTTACATTTGATTTTAAAATATGTTTACCTTCCATCGAATTTCTCCTCCTGTGGTAATTAAAAGAGGATGTGAATACTGGAAGCGGGCATATTTGACCAATAAATTATAAATACACAGTGAACAGTTACCAGGAGGACTATAAATTTTAGTCTGAAAGAAAGAAATAAAAAAAAAAAAATTTTTTAAACAAGTTTATAGTAAACATATGCAACATTTATATTCATAAGAACATAAATTACATTATTGGTATGATTCCAGGAATTCTAAAGAATACCTCTAACTTTAGAAACTAAATATTTCATTTCTTTAAACTTTAAATCTAAATAATCACTTAGTTTACTAAATAAAAAAAATTGAATGAATGAGTAAAACTATTAATTTTTGTGGTCACTATAATAATATTTCTTATATAATATGTAATATAAAATATTAAAACTGATCTACAAAAAGAGCTCAATGTATTTATTATAAACAGAGCCAATATATAGTAGTATACCATAAAATCCAAAATTATCTCATATGGGGGATAGATCTATTTCAACCGACAAAAACTTTGTCAGTTTTATTCAAACCTGGTATATAGACTGAGTTCATGTTGGAATTACAAATTTAACCGTGACAGCTGTCAAAAAATTTATACAGAATTTATCCATTTCGATGTTTCAGTGAGACAAAAGGCACAAGACAGTGGTCAGGGGAGGATGGAAGGTATTGGCCTTAAAGGGAAAGAGGTTTTATAAAATTAAACCTAAATATTAACCTTATGATATTAAAATGGGATTATATGTAGAATGAAGTGTTAATTTCAAACTAAGAGGGAAACGAAAAGGGATTTTTTTAAAATTATATAGACAAGGTTAAGTTTAAAAATACAAGTTCCTACTTAAAAATACTCTTCCAAAGATAAATTATACTTAAAAGTAAAATATATTTAATAAAAAAAATTGGTTATATTAAAGAATAAAAATTTTTTGAAAATATTTAAGAAAAAACATAAAAATACAAAGTTATATTTAAAAAAAAACTTAAAATATATAGATAAAGAGGTGTAAATGATAAAAGGAAAGAGAGTTCTTAGAACAGAGGATAATTATAAGATATGATTAATATGGTATAAAAATATAAAAATTAGAATTAGTTATACATTTGAAGAGTTAGACAAATAAAGTAGCTAATAAAGTAAAATCTATGATGGAAATTTGAATTTATTTTTGTCAACATTTTAAAACTAATTCATTCCTTTGATTCAATAGTTTGGTTATATATATATATATAAAAACTATCCACATCCATTCATTTTTCATTACTTGATAATATAGATAACTATGCATGTGGAAAAAGAAAAAAGAACAAAAAGCAAAGTTATGAATGGTTATATTGGCTGTGACACAAATTCCAATATTTACATTTGGATAAATGAACTCATTTTTGTTGTTGTTATCATTACAATATTTCAGCCATTGTTGTCTACAGTTTTTTTCAGGTGTTTGTCAATCCGGATAACCTACAGGCATATCTCATTTTGTTCTTGAACAAGAAAAAGATAAGATATTCCTAAACATGAACAATGGAATGAGAACAATCCACTCCTATAGATTAACTGAATGGTTCAGTTCAAAATTCCCTGAGCATTACCCAGATTAACAAACCTGAAGATGGGCAGTGTGGCCAAAATGTTGTGATAACAAACATGAGGACATTAGTCTGAATGTAAATAATGGTAACTCCTCATACCAGAAATTCAGACAGAAGTACAAAGCTTGTAAATAGCCCTCCTTACCTTGAATGTTTCCACTAACACTTTTACAAGTTCTCTTGTGTCTCCCACCAATGGATCATTCAGATGCTGCTTTACATTCTGGCCCTCAATTGATTGCAACCATAACTGCACAGGCTTTGTAACAACCTACAAGAATTACAATATTATTATGAAGGTTTCCGTTCACTGCTGCTCTTATGTGTTAAAGCAAAAAGAATATCATTTACAATAATAAAGTTAAATTACAAATTGTCAAACTACTAAGTTAAAAAAAAATGCTGTTATAACACTTTTTGACAAAACTTTAAAATTCAAAGATTACTAATTCTATTATTATTGTTACTACTATTACAACAGCAGCAGCTGCAACAATACGTAAACAAATAAGATGAAGACTATTTTAAAGGATCTTACACTAAGATGAGAGAATAGATGTAACTAAGTTGTAAGAAAAAGAAATAACGTAAAAGATACTATTTACCTCTAATAAATAGCCATCAGAAAGACAAAGTTGGTTGATATTTTAATAAGGAGAAATTTGCAGAGGATATCATTTTGTTAAGTAATAAAGGAGCCTGTGTAGAATCAATGGCATTCCAGATAAAGTGCTACATAAGGTATGGCAAATAAAACATTTTGGTAGAAATGGTCATAAATTTAGTTTAGTGGTAAATTGAAATGGCACAACATCTAGCTTCACGGTAAATTGAAATAGCACAACATTTAGCTCATCCAATAATGCAGGGTGCTGAGGATTAATTAATCACTACAAATTGTCATATAAAAGCTTTTTTTAAATTATATTTTTTGTATTTTTCCATAACCAGAAATAAAACAAATGGTAAATATTGATGTTAGTTTTTAATTTGTTTGTTTTATTGACTGATTTACCCTTTCAACCACATCAAGAAGGTATTTGTAGTGTCGACTGTGAGGTATTATGGTCAGCAACAGTTCAGCTCCAGCTTTACGCACAGCAGGATCAGGATCGTTTTCTAAATGCTTCAGGAAGGATATCACAACTGTTTCTACAAGTTGCTCCTACAATCAGAATAACAAAAAAAAAAAAAAAAAAAAGAAATATGAAGTAGAGAAACATTTAACACTTGCATCATATACTATTTAAAAAGAAAAAAGAAAAAAAAAGATCTAAGCAAGTGACCCTACATGCAAGCCACTTGTGCCTGCGGGCAACGCCTGCAGTCCTCTGGTGGTAGCCACCAGCGAACCAGTGGCGGGTCTTTAGCTGTCCACCAGTAGTAACACTGCCGAGATGAACATGCAGGTGGTCTGACAGCAGGCAACCAGCGGTAAATGCTAGTGACATGCCATCCAGTGGCAGACTGGTGGTTTGCATGTAAGGGAATTATAGCATGGAAAACAATTTATGTGTATGTATGCTAAATCATCTCAGGATTCTTTTTGCTTGTTTAATCTATTCAATTCAACATTTGCATAAATAATTTTAATATTTTTTTTTTGTCTTACTGATGATGGAATCTTCAATAAATTCAATAAGCCTGACTGTCTAAATCTAATGTGCTTTTAAACAAAATTTAGAAGGGTGGGTTTTTGACTGATTTGTTTTTTTACAGCTTATCAACCCTTTGTGCTATGAAAGGCAGAAATATATTTTGAATTGTAAGAATAGTTTTTTGTTTTTTGCAAGTGAATATTGCACTAACAACAATGATTTTTCCAGATACAAGCTCTACTATTTAATCCATAGCTGGTGTCGGGTAGGTGATAGATACACAACTTTCCCAAGCTTTTATGAGTGGGGCAAAAATGTTCCAACAGTATTATGCAACAAACAAGTTATTTATATTTGAGGGGATATTAGGATTAA